CTTCGATAAACATTCTGAATGGAAATGTTTCATGCATCTCTCGTTATTGCATATCTTATTCGGCAATTCATCGGTCTCTGATCTTTCAGAAAAGCATATACCACACTCCCGATTACCGATCATGCCTATCGAATCATCCAAGCTGTCTTGCTGCTCGGGAAATTCATACATATTTAACAACATCCTTAGATTTTCTAAAACAGTACAATCCGGATTCCAATTCTGTAAAAAGATGTATCAATTTTTAAGTTACGCATAAGCGAATCGCTGTTACAGCTCACGTTATGCATGGAACGTACGTGAATATTATTGGAAACCTCATCCCTCTGTCTTTTCACTTCGTTGTCACTGCCTGAGAATTTAATTGTCGGCAAAGCAGTAGGACGCAGCGGATCTATTGTAATTGTCACAGATATAGATTGCGACAAATGAATGCGTCTGTACATGTGACTTTTGTTTGGTTCTGGTGGATCAATTACCCAACAATTCCTGGTAATACGATATTTCACATTAGACCATTATAACAATTGTTTGATAATTCCTTCAGCAATCGGCTGATCAAAAAGCATATCATTTTTAGCAAGTTCTTTCAAAAATTTTGAAATATTATTTTCTTTTGTAAACGCAATGAACATAAGTATCAACATTACTTACTCATCAATTTCTTTTAATTGTTCCCATGCTCTTTCCAATAATTCCACTTGCCATTTGAACTTTGTCATCACAACGCTCAAATTAGTTACATTCCTCTCAAAGCCTTCAAACGTTGGGATAGCGGGCATGTCAGAAGATACTACTTTCCAGGGAATTCTAACATTGTTACATCTTTGCAACGTAAGAGACATTCCTCTTAAGGATAATTTGATAGTAGTCAGATTCCGATCGCTTGACAGTTGCACATCCTTTAATAACACAGATATTTTATCTTTAACATTGAGATCGAGATCACGTGAGATCATCTGCAGAAGAAATACAGTTTGTAAGTTTACTTACAGATGGATTTTGAAGAGCTGCTTTCACATCTTGTAGAAAATCTTTTGTAGATTCAAGGTTGATCATACAAATCTTACTATCTGTATTATCCATATATTTACCCTATTTACAAAATGTATAATCATAATATAATTGTCAAAGAGTAGCATATACCAATATCCGGTACTTACAATGAGCAATTGTAACTGTGTCAAGAATGACCGTACTGTTTGTGCAGACTGCATCAACTCCTTTACTTTCTCGCTGAATTTTATGTTACGCAGGAAAGCAATGTGTCTGCCAAAGCTGATCTGCGCATTGTCGAATGATGGATAATTGTGCATAACTAGTTTCAGTTTCACTCTAGACTGGGTCTCGTGAGCAGCGTATGTCAAATGCGAGACACTCAGAAAGCCTTTCCAAGTGACGGGCGATTTTGAGACGAGTATCATCTCTGGATGCCAATTCAAAATTGCTTCGCAATTACTCCCCGTTGCCATTGTCA